GGAAAGCCTGCTTTCATGTAACTTCATGCTATTTCCTGGATTTTACTCTGCTTCTTTGCTTCAAGTCTCCTGCTTTGACTCAAAGGGATTATATTGGACTTTTACCTTGTACTACTGATCTTTTTACTGCTTATACTCTGATTTGTTTGAAAATCCTCAATAAACTTCCTTCCTCACAAGTTTGGCTGATTTGTCAGAGAGAGCAAGGTGAATCTTAGCCTGAGATACAACAAGAGGTTCTAGTCCAGTGGTTCTCAACCTGTGGGTCCCCAGGTGCAGGCATGTCGCCGGGGGGGGGGGGGGGGGGGGGATGGGACTTGAGGGGCTTCAGCCCCCTTCCCCCCCCCCGAAATTTTCAGGGTACTCCGCGAGAAGGCCTTACTAGTACATTATTTAAATGGTTATGTTTATTCATATCATGATCTGTTCACCATGCTCAATTTTTCCCATATGCATGGGGCTATTGGGGATAACAATACAAAAGGTTTGCTAGGGTAGATCCCCCCCCCCCCCCCGAATCAAACTCAGCCCCCCCCCAATCAAAATCCTGGCTATGGGCCTGGTGTATTGGCCTACAACGTCCAGAAATCCCAGCCAGTTTACCAGCTGTTAGGATTTCGGGGTGTCGAAGGCCAAAACATCTGGGGACTACTGTTCTAGTCCAAAAAAATGGCCGCATACACATATGCAGTAAATCAGTCAAGGAAGCCTCTTTCTTCTCCTGAAACAATAAAAGATTTTCAAAATGATGCCTAGAGGAGTTGCAAACGCAATTTGTATACAGGCTTGGGGAAGATGTGTCACCAGTGTTGAGAGCTCTCACTAAAGACATGAAAAACCTTGACACTGATTTTCCATTTTGAGTTTCTCTAGGGTTGCTAGGCTTTGTAAAGCTGTGTGAAGCAGGAGTGATTCCAAGCAAATAAAGGTTGCCTGGCAGCTAACATTCGAAGGAGAGAGCACCTGCTACCTCTGTGAAGGAAACATAAGTGTTCCCATAACACCTTCCAGCAACTGAAATGAAAATTGCTCTGAAATATTTATAGCTTTCTGAATATGGATAGCAGGTCACAATATTGCATGATCTATTTTCTTTTCAAAATATTTAGATTTAATTTTGTTGTTAAGACTTTTGTGTTTAAATTAAAAGATAATTTATTAACAGGAAATTATTGAAATTACTCTTTAACATCTATTGCCATTGTTTTTGTTTGTTTTAGCTTTCATTAAAAAACTCTATAGGTAGAATCATGGAGCTGGAAAAAAACCCCAAAGGGTCATCTAGTCCAACATAGAGGGATAAACAATTAAAGCACTCCTGAAAAATGCCCATCCAACCACTGTTTAAAGACTTCCAAAGGTGAAGCATCAACCACCCTCTAAGGAAGAATTCTACTGTTGAACAGCTCTTACAGTCAAGAAGTTCTTCTTAAAGTTTAGCAGGAATCCCTTTTCTACTACAGTTATTGACCCTCCACATTTGCGAGTTTAACTTTTGAGGATATGATTATTTGTGCATTTAAATATTATGTTCTTTCACAGAATCTCTAGTTGAGGGATCCCCAGACTAAGTCCCACAGGCCAGATACGACCCTCCAAGGTCACTTACACAGGTTACCCAAAGTTTGAAATGACATGAAAGCACACAACAACAATCCTAATTAACTTGACTATCTCATCAGCCAAAAGCAAGCCCATGCTTCCCATTGAAATACTGGCAAGTTTATGTTGGTTAAAATTGTTCTTCATTTTAAATATTGTATTGTTCTTTCATGGGTTTTCTTTTTTTGCACTACAAATAATATAGGTGCAGTGTGCATAGGAATTTGTTCATTTTTCTTTCAAACTATAGTCTGGCTCCCCAACAGTTTGAGGGAGCATGAAATGGCTCTCTATTTCAAAAGTTTGAGGACCCCTGCTCTAGATTCTCCACCCTGACGCAAATCTCAACTTCTGCAAGAAGTAGACTATAGAATCATGCTGGAGGACATAGAAGTTCCTAAATATTTTTTAATTGGTGTAGCCCGAGGATGTGGACGGGAACCTTGGAGAAGTGAGAGTTACCACATGTGTTCTAGAATCTTGCCCTTCCTGGCTGATCAAATAGGCCTGAGGGACTGGCAGAGTGGGTGAAGGTGGGAGACTGAATGCTTCTCCTTGAAAGCTGTTGTAGAGGTTTTTGGAGTTCTTTTCAAGATGTTATTGAATACAGATCAAGGCACTAGGGGAACTTTTAGGGGTGTGGCTGTCTTACAAGTTAACAGGGTTTCTCTCAAGACATCCAGTCTTTTGATGATATCATCCTGTTCTGAGAGTAGTGAGGAATTATTAGATTTTCTTCTAGAGCAGGCATGGGCACATGCTGGATTGGGCTTGGCAGCTGGTTGGACCATGGAAAATGGTGTATGACACAGTGGCATGCCATGTTCTCCCATGAAGAGGAGGGCTTGACACACAGCTATGCAACGCTCTCAAGCCCCACACAGCCACATGTCCTGCAGGATGCTCCTATTCATGGGAGGACACGGTGACCCGCCATGTCATACTGTGAAGAGAAGGGCTAGATACACAGCTGTGCAGAGTTCTCTGGAGAGGCCTGTACAGCCACATGTGATTGGGAGGGCTGGGACCAGGGTTACGTCACATGGCTGGTGCCCAGGACAAAGCTGGAGACAAGCACCTAAGGGGCTACATTTGGCCCAGGGGCCTAGTTTGCCCATGCCTGTTCTAGAGTCTCCTTGGCAGAAAACAATGGTGGGAGTAATGCAAATTATTATCTTTTGTAACTGGAACAGGTGTGATAACCGTAATGAAAAGCTGATCCAAGTTCTTACTCAATGCCAAGTCCTTGAACAGTGCCAAGACCAAACCAGAACACTCTCGTCTGGGAGTAAGCATGAGGGGTCTAATGTCCTCTGTGCAAAAGACACGGCTTGGAAAGTTTGCAAGGGATATTTTTAAAAGCTTCATTTTGTTTAGCATGCTGAGGACAGTAGGCAGGCCAAATGTTAAAAAGACTGATAAAGTTGGCTCTCCATGAAAGCAAGTTAACTTTCTGTAAGTGTATCGGTTGTTTTTCACAAGGTAAAAGCTGACTGAGAGACCTAAATAGTGTGGGTTTTTTGGAGACCCATTGATCTCTCTTTATACTATTATTTAAAATTGACAAGGAGATAGACTTGGATGTAGGTAGCAATTTTTAAATGTCTTTTTGATCTGCTGACAAAAGGCTGTAATGTGTTCATTCTAGACGACTCCCCTCTGCTGGCTGCGTCTTTTAGAGGTTAAATATTCTCAGAGATAACCTTTAATATATTTTCCTTTCGTGTAATCAGGAGTGGAAACTCTATCAGACTGGAACTGCTCATTCTGTTTCTCTCTGATAATTTTAAAAGATCACTAAAAAGTCAATTTTGTTTTGTATTATAGTCAGCGAGTCAAAAATTGCTTCAGCTCTTTGGGCTGTAAAAAGACTGTGCCATGAAATTAAATCAATCCAGTTCTGGAGTTTCTGGCAGCCATGAGTTGGAGGCTCCTCAAATGCCATATGGCCAGGATACTGTGCAGGGAAGAAATCCCTTTTGTTGAAGGACACTGGCTCTTTGACCTCTGGGGGTTATTCTTGCCCTTCTCTTCAGGCCCTTAACGCCAACCTTAACTAGATGGTTACTCTATTGCCTCTAGCGCTTTTCTGCTTCTTTCTGCTCTTTCAAAAACATAAATGAACATTGCACCCTCTTTCCATTAGTACAAATAGTAGCAGCAGCCATGTTACCATCAGCCCATACTTTTGCTCTGCTTTGAGAGATTATTGAGGAAATTCAGAAAATATGACAAAAAGGAAATGAAATGAGTGTGGGTGTGCAGAATACACAAGAATGGCCAAAAGTCTGCAAAGTCAATTCAGTTTTTTAAAATAAATTGCTTCCATGGAAACTTCCAACCTAAAACAAAAAGCATTGAAGTTGTTTTTTTAAAAAACTTCCAAGATTAAGTAGAGATATATAACCAGGATAGGCCAAAATAATTCTCTGCATAATTTACAGTAAATTTCCTGAGATTTCTGACATCGGTTATTGAGCTATTGCTGTTGTGATACATAATAAGCTACTAAGGGGTATTTCTTAACAACAGGCAATAACCTTCTCCTCAAATTAGGTTGCTAAAACACAGAGACATGGATAGGAGACTGGAATGCCAGTTCAAGTGAAGTCCATTAGCTCAGTTCTGGGATGTGTGTGTACATGCCTTCAGATTTCCTGTTGGTTTATGGAGATCCCGTATGTTAACATAGTTATCTCAGGCAAAGGCTTTCTGTGACATATAGTCTACAGTATCTCATTTTCTTTTGCCGCTCTTCATCCAAATACTAACAAGATCTGAACCTTCTTCCAAGATTAGATGGGATTCAATCTTTTCAGGGCATTTAAACCAGTTCAGCTCTGGTTGCTGCTGCTGTGTGCCATCAAATCATTTCCAACCTATGGTAAACCTATCACAGGATTTTCATGGCAAGGTTTGTCATTGTTTCCCTCTGAGGCTGAGAGAGTGTAAATTGCTCAAGGTCACCAGTGGGTTTCATAAGATTTAAAAAACTAGGGCCAGTCCTCTTTTTGAGGCACCCTTTTACACACTGATAGCTCCAGTTGATAGATAAAAATAAAACAAAATTAAAACCAAAGTAACCTTTTAAACATGAAGTCTGCCAGTCAGTAGCCCCTGATCACAGGGGAAGTAGCAGATTGGCAATGGGTATCACACTACTGTGATAGTTTCCATCTCCATGTGATAAAGTCCAAAGCCATGGGGATTTATTATGCCTTAACCCCATGGATTTCATGGGGTCACCATAAATCGACAAGTGATTTGAAGGCAGACACACAAACAGTCCTTTCAATTTTCTTTTATCTTACTCTGTAATTAGCCACTTGTCTCCTCCACATGGACAATAGTAAAAGACATGTGGTAATTACTTTTCTGTTTGTGTTATTGGATTACAGGAGCCAGATGCAGGTTATGGAGAAGTTCTCCTTTCCATCAGTTACCTGCCAGCAGCAAACCGCCTGCTTGTGGTACTCATAAAGGCCAAGAATCTCCATTCTAAACAGTTGAAAGAGCTTCTTGGGAAAGGTGAGTGAGAAATATGGGCATCTTAAGGGAATGTAACCAAAAGGAAATGAATGTTTTCACTTAAATCCTATTACAGTATTGACATTTAATTACAGCCTATGAAAGTATATGAGCTGGGTTGTTGTAGGTTTTTTTCAGGCTATGTAGCCATGTTCTAGAGGCATTCTCTCCTGAGCTGTGAGCCATAATGTTCCTTTACCTGAGAAGTCATTAGATGAGTCAGAGGCATCACAGGGTCTGGAGCTCGGCAACTATGGGTAGTTAGGAAATACTAATACACAGCTAATTACATACAGTTGCTTTTACAGATGCTGTTTGATGGTATCTATACAATTCTTTATATCTGTCTATTATCTACATGCCTATCTATCTATCTATCTATCTATCTAATCTGTCCATCCACCTATCAATCCATCCATATAGCCATACACACTTGAGCACTCTATACTGGCACATTGATTATAAGATCACTCAGTCACGAGAGCACTCTGGGCTCAGCACACCAGTAAATTGTATTACTAAAGCCATACCGCAAATATTGTACATGTACATTATGGAAGATAAGAAGTGATCAAAGCTATAAAGGTTGAGTATTGCTTATCCAAAAATCCAAAATCTGAAATGGCCCCAAAATTTGAAAGTTTTGCCACCAGCCACCCATTTCAGTAATTGCAGCAGTGAATGTAGCATTCCTGCTTGTTTTTTTGTAAGGCAGAAGCAGATAAAAGACAGACTCCCCAGAGAGCTCCCATACAGTAGTATACTGTACTGTATTTTTTAAAAATCAAGTCCATGATATCCTCAGTTTGTGAGATCCTTAGTATCTTCAGCCTCATGTTTCATATGCAACATAAATCACAAAACAATGAGATATGAGGGTCTCTCAAAAGGCGGAGCAATTGATGCAGTTAATAATAATAATAATAACTTTACTTATATTCCACCCTATCTACCCAAGGGGACTCAGGGTGGATTCAAACAACAAAAAGGCAAACATTCAATGCCTGAAACAACAATAAATACAAATACAGTAATAAACCTATCAGAACTCAAAATAAACCAACATATACCACAATAAACCCAGATATACCAAAATATATGACCAAATTATAACATTATAACATTACAAGCTAAAATTAAATTAAATTTAACTTAAATTATATCAACATAAAAACATGAACCTTGCCAGTGATACCAACAAGGCCAATCGGGCCAACAGAGCCAGAGTATAAAATCAATTTCCAGTCAGAGGTATATTAGCTGTATATAGCCACCTAATCCTCCTCCTCTCCATATGCTAGCGAGCAAATATGAGTTTTTAATTGTTTTTTAAAGGAGAAAAGGGAGGGGTCCCTTTTTAATCTCTATAGGGTGGGGGGAGTTCCAGAGGTGCGGGGTGATCACGGAGAAGGTCCTCTCTCTCATTCCCACCAGCCATACTTGAGATGGGGGTGGGACTGAGAGTAGGGCCTCCTCCGCTTTCTGCAGTGTCTGAGTTGGTTTGTAAAAAGAGACGTGATTTTTGGATAAATAAACTTCTTGTTTAGACTTGAGTCTATCTCCAAGATATGTCATTATTGGAAATATTGCAAAATTTGAAATACTTCTGGTCTCAAGTGTTTCAAATAAGGAAGAAGGGATACTCAACTGATAGTAGATATGATGGAACTGTCATTCATGTTTCTCCACCGCTCCTGTGTGAAGCAACATGATTAACCTTTTGTTGGACATTAACCATTTCTGCACAACTTTGTAGACCTCATAAAGGATTTATAGGCAGATGAGTTAGTTGGTAGGGAAAAACTATTTTAAATGCTTTTTCCTTTATGGAAATGACCCCCCACCCCAACACCTTTTAGCCTGGCCATCAGCAATTACTGATATGTACTAGTAATTGCTGTGACTTTATGAGCCTTATTTACAAAACTAGAAGTAACTGGAATTGAATCATTTTTTGGGGGGAAAGACAAAAAGCATTTTGTTGAGGCTTAGAACATCTTAGAATAAACCTATCAGTGTTGTCCTTACATATCTTAGAGAGTGTGAGTGCCCCTTTTCAGTTAGTAGAATGGCAGAAGGAGAGAGAGAGAAACTCTTAATTTCTTTGTGTGAAGAAGTAGTATGGTGAGAGGAGTACTTTTGCCCACCTGCACCTTTCTTTTAGAAGGCCAGGAGAAAATGTCTGGGAATGTGGATCAATGAAGGCCAACCCTCAAATAACCTAGTTTCATCCTTTTTCCTGCAGATATATCTGTTAAAGTAACACTGAAGCACCAGGCCCTGAAACTGAAGAAGAAGCAGACAAAGCGTGCAAAACACAAGATTAACCCAGTATGGAATGAGATGATTATGTTTGAGGTGCCCCATGATCTGCTCTGTGCCTCTAGTGTGGAGCTGGAGATGTTAAGTCAGGATGGTGATGGGCAAAACCACTTACTGGGCAAGTGCAGTCTTGGCCTGCATGCCACTGGAACAGAGAGGAGTCACTGGGAGGAGATGCTGAGAAACCCCAGAAAGCAGATTGCTATGTGGCATCAACTTCACATGTAACTAAGGTGGTAGGAATGCTGATCGACTGTCGGTCAGTAAACTGGTTTCAGTGCTGAGGAGAGAAAGAGCTGTTTCAACATCCCCAAAACTTGAATTAGATCCATTCACACGATCAAGCACAGTTCTTCTACTATTTCTGTTGCCCCTAAATATTTCTTCCTAAAAGAATACTTTATACATTAGCTGAGCAAGGTGTTGAGTGGTTCATTGATACATAATAATTCCTAATTTAGTTGCATGATCATTTTTTCACTTTTTTGGGCCTTAGCACCTGGGATAGAATTTGTTTTAATTTTTTTTTACTAATTTATATATTATTTTTGAAAAGCAAGTTGAAATGAAAGTAGAAATTATTCCAGACATTAAAAAAACAAAAACTATCTTGTTGCAACAAGATTCAATATGTCCCTTCCAAATGTGGCCAGGAAATAAACCTAAAACCAAGAGGAACATGACAATGATCCTGTTCTTGGAACCAGCATCATTCGTGAGTGTCTAACTCTATTTATTCACTTGCTGTTTGCTGGAAAAAATATTTTATCATTTTACAACTCCTAGAATCATCCAGGCATTGTGCCCATTGTGCCATCTACATTATATACAGTCTACATAGAATAACAGAATAGATATCTACCCAAAGGTACTTAACAATTTAAAGCCATTGCAAGAACACCCTGAACACTCCCAGTCTTCAATTTTGGAAACTAAGTAGTGGTGGGCTAACTAGTATTCAGATGAAGGATCTCCAAATAGAGCTAGGATTGAATCTGAAGGCTTGAAGAGGTGCTGCAAGTCAGAGTTAAAAATAATGAGACCAATGGTTTCAGTATAAGGCAGGTTCCTACATGCTATTATGCCCCCAAGGAAAACAAGTGACCAAAGGGAAGGAAACTGAGACAAATAACAAGTTATTAATAGTTAAACTTAAGGTCAAATATTTGACATGATATTTATTAACTTGCATGGTTTTTGTTATATATTTAGCAACCCTGAGGTTGCAATTGCATACCAAAACCCAAGACCATGGCAGGTAGGAATGAGTGGGTTGAACTCTGCTCTGCCCTGTCAAAGATAGTATTCACACCACAGAATTATAGCAGTTTGCCACCACATTACCTGTCATGGCCTAATGTTACAAAATTCTGAAATCTATAGTTTTATAACATATTATTTACCCTTCTCTGCCTTGTGAGCTCTCATGCCACAAGTTATTTTTAGAGTACAGCTTTCAGACTCCTCTGCCCATTGTGATAATTGACCAGAAGTTGAAGATCTGGTCTATCAGAATTGATTTCTGATTTATTTTCTAGTTTGCAAAAGGCTTATCCCAAGTCTAATGCAGTTCCATGGCAAAACTGCCCCCCCCCCCCCCCCCAGCCAAACTCAGCCTAGTATGTGTTTTGAGTTATTGTTTCAAAGTAAAACAAAACAAAAAAAATTAGGACAGAACTCAGGTCAGATCAGGTCATTGCTTTCCAAGGTCCTGAAGGGATCTAATCCATTCTATAGTTACTGGTAGTTATGCATCTCTGGACTAGACAGTCATCCAGCCGCCCCAGTTTGGCAAGGACAGTACAATTAATCCTGTGTTATCTCACTGTTTTCTCTGAAAATAATCCAGTTTCTCCTGTCCTCCTTTGCTTCATCCTCAGTTAAATTTAATTGGTGCAAAGTTATATGAAATACAAATACAGTTTGCAGTCAGTTAAGTATGCAGGGAGGGGAAAAGAAGAAGGAGCAGAATCTTGCCCTTCCCAAGGTGTTCTTGCAAGAGCAACCGGCTGTGGCCTCTCCTCGAATTTGTGTTCTTCCTCCTGCCAATTCATCTGATGTTGCTGTTTTCATATGTGAAAGGTTGAAGGGGATGATGTTATAGCTGCACAATCTGAATTCTAAGTTTCTATATAATAATATATGTTGTTGTTCCTCCTCCTCCTCCTCCTCGATTTCACAGTCAACCAGGCATTACTGACTGAAGGTTTAGATCATCAGTTATTTGCATTCTAGTTAAGAACCTCAGAATCTAGAATGAATCATTGAATAACATGGTACATTTCAAGTAATGCAAATTGTTTATTGTTATTACACTACCTATAGCAATTTCATTCAGATGTTTTGTCAGTCCATTTGAAATTGCTCCTAGAGAACCTATCAATACTGAAAACACAATTATTTTCTCTTCTCAAAAGCCTTGGATAGGTTTTGAAATTTTCATAATAATTTCCTTCCCTATCTATAATCCAAGCTCCCCTGTTATGTCTGACAGTTTATGTTCTAAATCTTTGCCAATTTGAATCTTAACATTTTGCTTCAATACTTTTGACAACCTTTTCAGACCCATCAATTCAGCTGGCAAATCTTATTCTTTGCATAAATGCCAAAGTACAATTGCACCCAATTTATCATGGTATTTCTTATATTTGTTCTGTGTGATCTTGTAGCAGGAATTGGTAGGGTGCACAATAGATTTATTATTGTTATTATGGCTATTCCATTCAAATTCTACCTTCTCCTCAAAATTGAAACTTAGCAATACTAAAACAAATGCTGATAAAATGCATGGAAAAATAAAATAAAAACACAGAAAAGTTTGTTAAAAGACACTTAAGCTAGCCACATAATTAAGACAAATATACTAACATAAAAATAAGTGTAGCAGAATACAATTAAAAGTACCTAAAACCCTGTTGGAATAGAAAAGTTTTTTTTCTCACCTTCAGGTAGGGTGGAGATGTCTGGACCTCCATAAGGATGAAATTTCAAAGCCACCAAGAAAACTTCCTCCTTTGTTCCCACCAGACATGCCTATGAAAGTAGTGGGACCAGGAGAAGGTCTTAAAGCTCCAGTATGCTACAACTCCCACTAAGGCATGGATCATAGTAGTGAAAGAAAAACTCTGGGCTACTTGACAATGATAACTTTTGGTTTTCATGTCAGTGCAGTGATGGGGTGAATTTGCTCTGGGTTTTAGACACCTTGGATCTCTCTTTGAGAGAAAGACGGGATATCAATTAAATAAATAAATTTTAAAGAAGCTGCTGGTCAAGGTGCCAAATCTTGTCACCTCAAAATAGGTTTAGCAGTTTGTATAGATCCTCCAACATGAAGATTTAAACTCAGAGCATGTTCACTTTCCAAGGGATGTGGAAGCCACCCACTATCACATAAATAGGAGTATAGCATCTTGATACAGGGAAGTCATGCTACCCCTCTATTCTGCCTTGGTCAGACCACACCTGGAATACTGTCTCCAATTCTGGGCACCACAATTTAAGGGAAATGTTGACAAGCTGGAATGTGTCCAAAGGCAGGCAACTAAAATGATCAAGAGTCTGGAGAACAAGCCCTATGAGAAGTGGCTTGAAGAGCTGGGCATGTTTAGCCTGCAGAAGAGAAGACTGAGAGGAGACACAATGGCCATATATAAATATGTGAGGGGAAGTCATAGGGAGGAGGGAGCAAGCTTGTTTTCTGCTGCCCTGGAGACTAGGATGCTGAACAATTTATTTATTTATTTACTTTACTTTACTTTACTTTACTTTACTTATATACCGCTGTTCTCAGCCCGAAGGCGACTCACAGCGGTTCACAACAAATAAGAACAGCAAAAATTCAATGACACAGTGTAAAAACAGTTAACAACCTAACATATTACATAATTAATAAACAATGGCTTCAAACTACAGGAACCTGAACATTAGGAACAACTTCCAAACTGTGAAAGCTGTTCAGCAGTGGAACTCTGCCCTGGAGTATGGTGGAAACTCCATCTTTGAAGGCTTTTAAACAGAGCCTGGATAGCCATCTGTTGAATGAGATTTTCCTGCTTTTCCCAAGGCTGGGCTGGTTGGCCCATGAGGTCTCTTCCAATTCTGTGATTCGATGATTCTTTAAACAATGATGTTTAGCCTGCAAATCTATATAATTTGACGAGGCATATAAAGCTGTGAGTTAGCTATTGGACAAGAGCTGCAGTTTGATATGCTATCCTATCTGTGTGAGCAGCTCCTATGAGACCTTGGATACTGCATTAATTCATCGTCTAAATATTTGCATAGTAATATACTGATAGTCTCTTTCCTGGTTGCTTTAGCTGGGAGCACTAAAATGGAAACTAATTGGCACCATTATGCTTGCTTCAAAAGGAGCTCTGGAAATCCAATTGGTAAAAGTCATTCCCTTAAAAAAATATAGGTGTGCAACACAGAGGCAGAGCTTAATTTCCTTCTTTATTTTTCAGTTTTTAATTCTCATGAAGAGCAAGTCAAAGACAAATACATCCATTAACTGAACTGCTGTGACATAGAAAACATTAGTTCAGACCAAGGATGCATTAAATTGCTGAACAGATTACTGTCATCATGGTTGCTTCTAAAGATGCAAATTATGTGGGGTTTTCTTTGAGGGGAGGTAGTCAGGAAAAAAAAAGAAAAGGCAGGAATTAATTCTACATTTTATCCTTTTAACATAAAAATATGAGTGTCCAAGTTACTCAGAAAGATTGCCTGTTGGAGAACATACATACATACCTTATTTAGTAAGAATAATTGGAAATATTAATTTACTATTTTTGCCTGCACTGATTAACTTTCTTATGGTATTTTCCTCTTTGGCTATTTATTATTATTATTATTATTATTATTATTATTATTATTATTATTATTATAATAACTTTATTTTACCCCGCTAGCATCTCCCGCAGGATTCGATGCGGCTCACAATAGGCCGAAGCCCAACACAATACAACAATACAATATCTAGCAAATAAAAACAGTTAAGCAGAAAAACAATAACAATATTTGGACAAGTGAAATTGTATTGTCGAAGGCTTTCATGGCTAGAATCACTGGGTTGTTGTAGATTTTTTGGGCTATATGGCCATGTTCTAGAAGTATTCTCTCCTGATGTTTCACCTGCATCTATGGCAGGCATCCTCAGAGGTGTTGCGGTCTGTCTGTCAGGTTGATGATGGTTCTTGTTTCAGCTGTTGCTTTTGGCATTTGTGAACCATATACTCCAAAAAACCTATAGCAACACAACTGTCCAATGCAAACAATGTGAAAAATCTGAAAGTTGGTGGTTATGTTGGACTTGCATTTTAAGGATAAGAAAAGCAATCTGGTTTCTTTACTGGTCCTATTAGATAACTTTTCAAGAACTTGCCATCATTTTGGAATTTTATTAATAGGAAGGAGAAAGTTAGTCTAGTCTCCGAAATGTTTACGGATTGCTTTACCACTGATCTTTCTTTTGGATCAATTTAGTTGTTGTGACCCACAATTGCCAAATTGTGCGGCTGAAGCAGAAACTCATTCTTGGCAAAGTACAAATATAAGCCAACACACTCTTTGGTCATTTGTGTCATACCTTTCCACATTAAAGATGTACCATGTAGAAATTGAGGCTGTAACAAAAATACAATAGTACTGATGTCAGGTTCAGATCTAAGCACAAAGGTATAGATTTTTCCAACTGTAGATCTCATGCCAAATTGTATGAACACACTGCATGATAAGGGTGAACAATTCGATAAAATTAACTAACTACATTTGGCAGAGCATGTGTCCACACTGTTCCAGCACGGCCCAATCTGAGTCCTTTATATCTATATGAATTGGTTCTTTCAATTGTTGCTCACCACAGTGAGTCACGATCACCATTGTGATGTGCGCTTCTATTAGATTTAGTTTATCAAATCACCTGCACATACTGAAATCACATGTACTTTGCCTGCGCTTTGTAATGTGATGATCTGTCTTAGTCTTTTTTCTGAAGCAAATTGATTTGTAATGTGAATTGTGATGTAGCAGCAACAAAGGAGAGGAAAAATAGCTGTCAGCAGGAGAGGAGACAAAGGACAACTTTGGTCATATATTTACCAGCTCAGCTTGACTATCTAAAGGCAACAAGGTGATATGGCTTTTTCTTGTATGTGCATTTTTGAAGGTCAGTTTGAGAGATGTCTGAATAGATCTGATGTCAGAATTCTGCAAACACACACACAGTTTGGAAGGCTGTAAAAAGGCTGGGAACATTCATCTGATAAAATGTAATGGATGGGCCCAGAGGGACAGATCGCATTGGCCCTTTCAAATTATATATTTATTGTTTGAAAAAAGCAAATATTTGTTGTTGTCATTGTATTCAATGTTCAAAGCACAAGATAAAAGCATGAGAGTTGGTATCCAATTTTACAACACAAGAAAACCAATAAAATTCAGTCATAAACAAGTGGAATCAATGTGTTGCTTTGTTTATATGTATGTTGTCTCAGCTTCCCGCAATACCACTGCAATACATGCAGTTAGAAAATCTACATTTTTATTAGTCTTTTAATGAGTGTTTGAACACTGTCAGTAAAAGATGATTATACAACCAAAGAACATTATAGTAGTGATCATAGTAAAACATCAGCACAGACAATACACAAAAGAACTGTAATGACAACCACAACAAAACTATATTTGATGGTCGAACTGAATATATTTTTGAGCAGTCTTCTATTCAGATAGAAGTAAAGGTTCCCAAATCCTTAGTACAACAGTCCTGACAGGCTTTTTCCTCTATGGTTCACATTTAGCTGTCTTCAGTGTCTTATTTGTTGTATCAAATAGATTTTAAGAACTATCTGCTAAGATATTGCTATGTTTTAGTGAAGATCAAAGAGGAAACAGAAAATCTAAAGACACAGGTACAATGAAAACTTATGACTAATATTCATTCTAGACATTCTAGTGTTCCCTTGAGAAGTTTTCAGTTATGTAGTTCTCTGAGATCTTATAAGAGCATGCTGACTAGCAGTCCCATAGCCAGGATTTCAATTCGGGGGGAGTCTGAGTGAAAGAGGGTCTACCCTAGCAAACCTTTTGTATCGTTACCCCAATACCCCCATGCATATGGGATATATTGAGTATGGTGATCAGATCATGA